TAGCTAGGTAGTACTATCGACGAAATCGGAGACTATATTATCTTTCCGCGTTACGGGGACAGGTTCCTTATATTCTATTTCTAAGTCTCTATCGACTTAGTAGTATATTACGCCTATCCTAAACTCCTTAGAGGCGTCTACGTCGATATATAAGGTAGATACAGGGTCGAAGTACTAGAGAAATCCCTTCCTATCTTCGGACTATATAGATTATATAGTATTCTAGGTAATGTCTATTTCGCGGGTCTAGTATAGCTTTGCTCCCCGCATTTAGGCGTAGCGCCTTCCGCCCTTCGTTTAGGTAGCCTAGTATTCCTTTATTACGGCGATTTTAGCTTGCTATAAGAGTAGTATAATTCTGCCGAAATATAGAATAGTAGACCTAAGGTAGCCGACTAGACCGAGATAGTGTTCTAGCTATTCGGCGTTAATAGGCTTTTCTAGTTCCCGTAGCGCTACGAGTCTATCTGCCTAAGTTGCGAATCCCTTCCCGTCTACCGTTCTTCTAAGAATTTAAATAGAGGGGAAACCTAGGTACGCCTTCCCGGGTTCTAGGCTAAATCGCAAGTTGTCTATCTTTTTAAATACGCGTTCGAGTAGGGCACGATAAGACTCTAGGTCTACCGACCCTAGGACTATATTATCGATATACCCGTTCGCCGCGTCCCCGAATTCCTATAGAGTACGGTCGAGTAGCCTTTATATATATTAAACGCTATTATAATATCCTATTGCCGCGACCTTTAAGTATTCCTATCCGCGGGCAGTGTTTACTATAAATTTCTAGCGATCTTTCTCGGCTACCGCAAATTAATAGAATATAGACCTTGCGTCTATTACCGAGATATATATATAGCTACGTAGCTTAGCGATAATGTCGTCCTAGAGGGGAAGAGGGTAGGTATCCTTCTACGATATACTATTAAGGCCTCTAATATCGATAACTACGCGTAGCTTATAGTAAGCTAAGCTATCGTCGCGGAATAGCGTCCTCTAGACAATAAACACCGGCTAAGCTAATAGCGAGGGCTTCTCGCTAAAAGCTATCTTATCCTAGGAGTAGAGTTTATCGAACTGTTTATCGACCTCTATATTATCCTTCTCTAATATTCGATAAACCTTACTACTAAACTTTTTATCTTCCTATCCCGACTTAAGGGGAAGTTCTAACTATTCGTCCTTTAGTAGGTTAATCGTCGTACCCCTATCTGTCTATAACTATAGGAATTTGTCGGCGATAGACTAAAGGTCTGCCGCCGCTTTAGAATCTAGGTTTGCGGCGCAAACCGTTACGCCGGCCGAAGTTTTAAGACTAGCTATCCTAGCGTTAATTGAAATTTTAGTAGTATCGGGCGGTAAGCTAAGGTCTATTAGGTCCGCTTCTTTATTTTCGTTAAGTTCGCGGGTCGGCGGTTAAGATTTAGATATCCGCGGGAGTTGCGGGCGTACTATAGTTTAATCCGGATTCGCTAAGTTTCTAGCTAGGCTTAAATTAGACTAAAACGCGCTAGCGAGAGTTCGACCGGTAGGGCGAGGAGACTCTCGGTCTATTAGCCTAATCGCCTTATTTTCGCTAAGTCTATTTATCGGTACCTAAGACTATCGGGTCTTAAGTACTTAAGCTTGCGTGTCTCTATAAATAGGTTCTACTGCGGCTTTTCTCGTTTTTAAGGATGCTCGAAATTCGCGAGTTAAAAGAGCCTATATCTATAGATCTATCGCGAGCGGGGTGCCTCCTAATTTTCGCTCTATAGACCGAGGGTCTATATTAAACTTATCGATTTGCTAGATATCGTCTATCTACAATTGCTACAGTTTACCTAGTTTTCTATTACGTAGTATTACTAGGTCGTCGTCGTAGCTAAGATTCCTAACTTAGACCCTAGGAAGTTCGGGTCCGGTAATATAGGCGCATATCGCCGCCGTACCCGGGAAATTAGATTCGCTAGGAACGAAGAGGAGGTCTTAGTCTATGCCCTTAAAAGCCGTCGCTCTATTATATCGTACTAGAATCATTGCCGCCGTACGTAGCGGTAGCCTAATTTAGTCAATAGCCCTAATATTAGCCTATATTAGAGTCTTAGTTTTAGGTATATAGGCTATAGGCATTACGGCGTAGTCGTTTTCTATTATAACGACGTATCCGGCTCCGGTATAGAGTATAAAGCCGGCGGGGGTTATAACGTCTATCCTAAGGAGTATATTATACGGTAAATTAGGTATAACTCTTACTAGCTATTCGATATAGGCGAGGGTAGGCTTTCTAGACTTCGCGAATATAGGGAAGTATATCGACAAATTAATCTATTACTCGCACTTTATACTTCCGGCTAAACTACGAAATTCGAGAGGCTACTTTAGATACTAGATGTTTTCTCGACCTAGCTAGGCAACTAGCTACTTTTAGTCTATTATCGATGCTTTTATACTAGTGTCGAGGCATATACGTTTAAATTCTCCTTCCGGAGTAAGAGCGTAGTTAGCCTCGACTATATCGTAATATCGGAACGTATAAGCTAAATCTCCCGGCGGGAGCTTAGCTATATATAGAATAATCTATAGTTACTCTTAAATGTAGTAGACTGTAGACCTAAAGCTTTAGGCTATTAATGTCGTCAAATTTTCGCTTAGCTAGCTATAATAAATCTTCTTAATGCTTATCTATAGTAAGATGCGTTTCGATATTCTAGAGAGAGCTAGTTCTATAAGATACTAAATCGTATGCTTTCCCTTAGGCCTCTATTAATAGACGTAAGGCATCTTGCTTATCTAGTAGTAAGCAACCTAGTAATTTAAGGCGCTCGAAAATTCCTGCTACTACTAGGTATTCTAGAGTTTCCGATAGACTTAAGGTTAAGCGCTACGAGCTAGGAGTAACTAGTTTTACTTCTAGCTCGCGGAGTTTCCCGAAGCCTACTCGAGGAGTACGTTAGTACGTTTACCGGAGGCGTCCTTAGGGTAGGCTTAGTCGAGGTAGATAGTAAAAAACTCGTTAGTAGAGCGGAAAATCTCCCTATATATATTATAGCGTATAGGTCGGCCGTCCTAGCGGTTCTTCTCTCGGGAAGGCTAGCTCGAGACCTCGGGTCTACGGCTCTAGGTCTAAGTATAGTAGACTAGAGATACGAACGGGTTTATAGAAAGGAAAACCTAGTCCTCTTATCCGCCGGTATAACTAGCGTCTTCTTCCGCCTTATACTAATCTCCTAGCTCTTCTTAGGCGTCGAACTAGTCCTACTAACTAAGTCTAGATTCGTCGTACTTATCGCCCTACTCTCGGTCTATCGGGTCGTAGAAAAAGGCGGGCTTAGCGAGGCCTCCGTAATTCGCGGGAATGCCTTATCCTCTTATATTTCCGAACATCGTCTACTATCTCTAAGGATTCGGATACTACGGGAGACCGCGCGCGTCTACTATCTTCTCGTTTACGCTTGCGTTTGCGGCTTATAGTCGTTAGCGGCTATAGACTTAAGGTCTAGGCTAACGGCGCTATTAGAAGGCGTTAGGTTACTATCGATTATATAGATTATTATTTCCGAGAAAAGGCGCGCGTCTAGCGTTAAAACGAGACCTAGGCTAAAACCTTAGGTCTACGAACCTACCCTATACTAAATCGCTACGCCGAAGGTTATACTTACTACTATAGTAGCTAGCAGTTATACTACCGGGTAGATATAGCTCTACCTATATAGCGTAGTAGGCCTATATTATATCGATAAGGGTTTGATATATCTATAGTGCCGTAGGTGTATTAAGATTACCTCTAAGCTCTAGCGCGATCTTACGGAAGGTATAATTAATCTACCTAGCGAGCGATTCCGTACCGCTCTACTAAGCGAGACGTATAACGTTAATAACGTACTCGCTTACGCTTCTACGGGCCGCGATATCCTTAATGCGGTATTATTCTATCTCTATCTTGCGCGTAGCGACTAAAGGGTCTAATTAGAACTATTCGCGTAACGCCTCCTTCTATCGCTCGATCCCCGGGCCGGTTTATAGAAGCGTACGTCGATTATTAGTAAGCGCGTACAGGTACTATTATAAAGCGGAACCCTAAAGGCATCGGTATAGTAATAGACGAAGGGTAGGAGCTAGGTATTCGCTAGCCTAAATAGCGACGTCTAGGCGCGTAATAAAGGCGAAAACATCTCGGTAGTATATAGTATTCCCGAAATACACTACTAGGCCTTTGCCCTTGCTCTCCGGTAGGTCCTTATTAAAATACCCGATTTACTCGGGCTTAAACTTATAGGGGGCGATTTCCTAGCTAAAATCTAACTAAGGAGTGTATAGGGGAGTATATACGTATATACCGTTATACCTAGGGTCGATATAGTTTCCTCGATCCCCGCGGTTCTATATAGACCTAAGGTTGCCCGTAGGTAGCTCTCTAGCGACTAGGACTCCCTAGGCTAAGGCCGCGAAACGCTCGGCGTTAATCTTAGGTCTAGTATAAAGGCGAGCATCTCGATTCCGATTAGCTTACTAGTCTACCCTCGCTAGGCTATAGCCTACTCGGTTACATATCGGGTAAAGACCTATATATCGTAGCGGCCCGGTCGCTCCTAAATAGTCCTTATTCTATAGAGCTATATAGCCTACCTAGCTATTATTCCCTATCGCCTATACTAGTTTCCCTATAAGCGTTTCTAACCTACTAATTCTAGTATTCTCGGCGTTGTCGTTACTATCTTCGTTATTGCCGGTATTATTCCGAGGGTTCACTTCCCTCGGTCTTCTAGTAGACTTAGCGTTTCCTCGCTATCCCGACGTAAACAACTTGCCCGTATTAATACAGTAGTCTAGTTACTCCGACGGCTACGGAGCTCTACCTTCGCTATTCTCTTTAGCGGCCGCTTTATTCTTAGCTCTTACGGCTTCCTAGCGGCCCTACTCGAAAGCCTTTTATAATTTTTCCTAGATCTCGAGCTCGTAGACCTCTCGTTGCTCTACGAGGGCGCGATTAAGACGAGCCTAGTCGTTCTTACGCTATATTCCTACTCTCTCGCGTTCTTCCCGCATTTGTTAAGCAAACTATTCCTTTATTTGCTATATAGCATTACCGTTAGTAGGGGCTACGGCTCCGTTAGCCTTACCTAACATTTCTTACTCCGGATCTAAGTCGGCGAGAGAGCTAAGAGGTAATATAGTAGATACGGAGATAAGAGAGCTTTCTTAAGGCGCTAGCGGGGGCTCTTTATAAAAAGAGCCGAAGTTCTTAAAGGCGTCGCCCTTAGGCGGATTAATCGTAAAAGGAACCTTACGTCTATCCGGCTTAGGGGCCGCTCCTATATCGTCTTCTACCGAAGGTTAGACCGCTTGCTTCTCTAGCTTCGGAGGTATCTAAGTTTTCCTATAACAAGGACGATATTCGTTCTCTAGAGGCTCTTTAGCGGTAGACCTAAAGTTCTCGGTCTTCTACTAGGCGAAATGCTTGCTCTTTAGCTAGTAAGCTATTAAACGGTCGACCTATTATACCGCGGAATAAGATAGAGAGTTGTTATTAACCTAGTTACTAATAATTTTAGAGCGAGTAGGAGGCTTAGGCGTAGTATCCCTATCGGTAGACTTAGCGTTCTCCCTTAATATAGATCTTAATCTACGAGGAGGGTCCGCTTCTTTAGGATCCTCTAGCTACTCGGTTATAGCGATAACGCGGAATTTTAGGTCTCCCTCTAGAAGTTTTGCTAGGTACTGTCTTAGTTTAGAAAAAGCTAGGAGGGTGAAAGCTGTATAGATAAGGTAGTACTAGTATCTGTCCTTAGCTAATTCGGGAAGAGTACAATCTTCCTAGGTAGTAGGCTATAACTTAACAGAAGGTTCCCCTTAGTTCTTCGGTGCTATAGACTTAGAGCAATAGGCCGTTAGTTAGGCTAGTTAAGGGCTACGCGGCTTCGGTGCTCGAGTGTTAAGTACGAGCGTAATTAGAATGTTAAGTATAGTAGCGCACGTAGCAGTCGCCGTTTAGTTATTCTAAACCTTCCTAAATTACGGTCCCCGCTAACCTAGTATCGGGCGGACCTGCCTTCTCTAAATAAGGGTATAAACAATAGAAAAGTAAAGGCGGTAGGGTGCCGGCGATAGCGGTATACTTAGTCTATCGCCTATAGCTACGCCGACTTATCGCTAGTAATTTCTTAACTCTTTCGCTTAGTATAGTCTAACTACTACTTTCGTCGATAGTACAGAAAATAGCGTTAGAGTAGGTCGTTAGGATTCCTCCTAGGTGCGGAGGACCTTTTACCTTAGAAGGAGAAGGGGGATAGTAAACCGTAGTTCGGATAGTCCGTTTAGTAACGGTTAGTGCGTTTTTCTTACGCTAGTGCTTATAGCGAAGCTACTATTTTGTTATAGTTCGAAACGTGGTTTTAAAGTGTGTTAATTTATATTATGTCTATCTAGCTACGAAGGAAGTATATACCTATAGTAGGCGGCTAGTAGCAGCCGCTAGGTATCCCTTTCCCTCTAGCTTTGTAACAATTTGCCTCGTTTATATAAGAGACTATACGGCGAGATAATAACTAAGATTAATAAGAGTACGCGCCTCTATATTGTAATAGATAGCTAGTCTAATCGCGCTTATCGCTCGGTCGTTAATTATCTCGCTATTACCCCTCGAGCGGCGTAGTTTCTAAGATCTAAGCTTACTAGCGCTAATAGAAGTAATACTTAGTATTACGCTAAAGGTCTTCTCGAAGTTATTAAGCGCTTTCCGGTAGGCAAAGTAGTTAGTATCGTTACTAATAATGCGTTAGTAATAAAGGCGGCAACTAAAAAGGTATATTTCGAAGATTTAAAATTAGAGTATATCCCTCGTAGGTAGCGCCGATCGACTAACCGATAAGCGCTAATAAGACTTAGTGCGTACGGCAGTATCTAGTACTAGTCCGCTTAGGATGCGCTTCTTATTTTACTTAACTCTTAGTTTCTAACTTATACTACTATAATACTAGTATTACTAGTATTAGATATATTATTACAGACGCTAAAACTATCGTAGAATACTTTAAGTATACTTAGCTCGCTTTTAAGATACTACTAGATATATCTAAGGGCAAAGTACGGCATTTTTAGACCCCCGGAGGTGTCCGCTAGTAAGCCGACCTATACTACTATAGAAGTGTCCTTATTAATAAATACTAGATAGAAGAGCTCCGCGTATACTATAAGCATCGTCTACTAGTAGGAGCGTCTTCTACTTAGCGGAAGACATAGTTAGAGATATACGAGGTATACGAAGAGGGCTAGTTTTAGCGTAATTTAAGAGGGTAAGTACTAAAGCCGAGTTTTGCGTACTTCTTACTAATTTCTAACCCTCCTTAGCTACTACGACTTAATAGAGCTATTCCTTAAGGTTACTATTACCTTAGAGTTAGATAGACTAAAGCTATTATATATCTATAGCAACTAGCGCTAGCTTATAAATTTAGTAGTTAATAAGGCTCTAAATCTCGTCTCGAATAAGGAGATAGAGGTTTATATCGAGAAGCAGTAGGAGAAGCTATACGTTACTTAGAGACTATATAGAATACTTAATATACTAACAATGCCTCTAGTTATTACTCTCTTATACTAATTGCCTATCTCGCTAATGTCTCCGAGCGCTCCGACCTTAAGAAACAGTTTATTATTATTACTAACGAAGAAGTCCGATCTCTTACTCCTTTTCTCGTCGAATACTATACTAACTAATAACGCAAGTCCGCTACTTATCTAGACTATAACGAGTTAAGAGATAAGATCTATATATACGTCGGACAACTTCTAAACGATATCTTTATACTCCGTAGCCGTTACGGTCTATTTAGTAACCCTATCGTATAGGTAGCTAGAAAGAGTCCGATACTATTATTATAGTAAGTAAACAACTTCCGAGACTCGTACCCTAAGCTTACTAATCTCTATATACTAGCATTATCTCTATATCTAATAACCGGTACTATAGAGCGCAACTAGTCCGCTTATAGCTTTATTTAGTTACTTAAACGCAATAGATTAAGCTACGATATCCTCGAGAAGTTAGTTTTTATATACTAGAATCTATATATTAAGTATTATATTAACGACGATAAGCTTATAAACGATAGTTACGTAGATCTATAAGACATACTAAAAGAAGTATTTAAGCCGTAAGGCGACTTCGAGTTTACTTATAGCGATAACGATAGTAATACTATCGACCTTACTATCGATAGTAGTAGCTAGTAGGGCTGCTTTATATACCTAGAATGTCCTTATTTACGCTCTATATCTCTTATTTCCTTTATTGTTCCATTTTGTATACGATACGCTATAATAACCGGATCCACTTGCTGACCAATCTGTGTCTCGTGTATGTTCATAACGTGAGCACTGTGTTCATAAACCCGGAAGTTAAATACACGGTGAGTCTACATCTCTAGCTCTTGCCGCCTTGCAACGATGACTGCAGATTTCGAAACTGCTTTGCACCTCAGCTTGCAGCCTAGGCATATGTCACGTAGCACAGCTCATGTGGCGCTGACAATCAGCTGAACGCTCTGCAGTTCGCAGAAGACGCTGGACTTGTCAGAGCGTGAAACCGTTCCGGTCTGTAAGCAGCTCTCGGGGGCGATTGCCCTCAGCATAACGAACTTCAGCGGACAACTGCCAACTGGATCTCCTCGGGCTTCTTTTAATTCAGACCTCGAGGCCTTCAGGCTTCCACGGCGCGACACAGCACCGTCGGCCAGAATCACGGATCGCGATGGCGGCGAACAAAAATTGGTCGGATGGCGAAGATTTGTTGGGTGGGACGGGGCTGCATGACCAGATTCCGGTCTGACGTTACTGTCTGTGAACTTGAGTCGGCGCCAAAGCATGGCATGCTGTTGAGGCCAAGGACTTCTTCCTTCTTGTGAAAGAACAGCAGCCGGCCAATTGCACTCTGCGGCCAGCTTTTCGACCTTCCGGTGGCAGAAGATGCACCTGCTGTATTTCTCTGACAGTTTGGTTCCGCTGACCACTGAGGAGGGTGCCGCCACTTCCTATGCCTTCGGATCAGGCGTAGATGACGTATCATCTGCCTGAACGCATCCCAGCCTGATATCTCGCTCTTCAGATCGGATTTTGCCGGGACGAATATGCGATGCGATGCGATGCGATGGCTGTGAAGCACTGGTATCGACTGCATGCAGAGGAAGATGCTCAGGCAAAGAGCAGGACAGCGGGCAGCGTCGATCAAGGTTTCGGGTCAGACTCACGCAGGCGGCAGGCGGCAGGCGGATGCGCGGGCTGAACCCACTTTTAATTAATTTCCGCTCAGCAAGACCTCCGCTTCTTCTTGTTGTCCACAGTCCGCGTTTCCCCTTCACACACCATCAAGTGTGGATTGAGATTCTACATGACAATGCGAGCTGGATGTTGTAATATAATTATGCACATTGGCGCTACACGAGCAATCGACAGCACACGCAGCGGGGCACTCTTCATCTTTGGCTGCACTGCAGGTCAACGTGGCGAGCGTCCGCCGTCCGCCGTCCGCCGTCCGCCCAACCTTGAGCCGAATCGGCCGTACTCCGTACCTTGCATATGCAACTCCCGGCCAATCACGCCGCCATTTGCTGGGTAACCACCGCACATTCGGAATCCCTCCCATCTCCTGAGGAAGTCTAACCTGCTTGGAGTAGTCATGGAGTGTTCAACAGTGAAACTGACAGGAACAGGAACGGATCGCCGGTGCCCAACCGGACCTCCCACTGGCTCATGCGCTTGATGACGGGGCGCAGCGCGGTACCCACAGATCACACCGCGCTGCCTAGCGTGGAGTCGTGCACCGAGTTGTCCTTGTGTTCTTGGTCGGCACCCCTACTCCCGTACAAGTACGCCAGGCCAGCCCTTCCTCGTCCTCTGACTCCTCTGCCTCCCTCCACCACACGCTTCACGGGTCTGAAGGTCTTGCCAACACCACTCTCGTTTCCCACTTCGACCTTCATTCGGTCTTTGACAGACCAGTACACTCTTTGTGTCGAAACCAGCCTTCACAGCCAATTGCAAAGCTACCACTAGAGTCGCAAGTCGATCTCTACCAATCATTACCACAGACCAACGAACTTCTTGCACTTGGAACAGACCCACAGCGTAAACATGTTTACCAACAGCATTATCGCCGCGACTGGCGCCCTCCTCACCTTGGTTGCTGCCGTGCCCATGGCCGACCAACACCCACACCATCGTCACCACCCAGCCCACAAACGGGACTACGTCTGGGTCACCCTCACTGAGGTTGACATTGAGACGGTGGCTGTCACCAAGACTGTCTGGATCGAACCCGGCGAGACCCCACCGCCTAATGTCAAAGCCCCACAGCCATATGGTGCTCCAGCCAGCAGCAGCTCGTCTAGCAGTCCTGCACCAGCTGCCTACACTCCTCCAGCCAGCAGCAGCCCGTCGAGCAGCCCTGCACCAGCTGCCTACACTCCTCCAGCTTTTTCAAGCAGCAGCAGCCATCCACCTGCATACATTCCTCCAGCTCCTTCCACCCCACAATCTACCTACGTTGCGCCAGCATACACTCCTCCAGCAACGTCGACTCCTCCCACCTACACTGCACCAACCCCTAGCTCAGCACCTGCCGCTCCAGCTTCCGGCGTTAGCTCTTCCGGCAATGGCCTCAGCGGCCTGGGTGCCTCCGGCACCTACTACTCTGGAGACCTCACCTGGTACGATGTTGGTCTTGGTGCTTGCGGTGAGACCAGCACTTCCAACGAGGCCATCGTAGCCATTCCAGAGAAGATCTTCGATGCCTACACTGTTGGCGGAAACCCGAACAAGAACCCGCTCTGCGGCAAATACGTTACAATCACCGGCAAGGACGGCTCGCTCTACAAGGCCAAGATTGTCGACCGCTGCCCAGGCTGCACCCAGAACGACCTCGACTTGTCTCAAGATTTCTTCAACAAGGTCACACAAAATGGTGACGGTCGTGTCCACGGAATGAAGTGGTGCTTCGACTAAGTACAACGCGAAAACAGCGCGTTCCCTTCTCAGCATCCTTCAGCAAATTACAGCACTTCTTGGGCAAAAACCTGGTGTTTTGGCTGAGCTTCCGGAGTTGATCTCTGCGCGCAGGAACAATATACGTATCGCAGCGAAGCATGACAGCAAGCGGCATTTGTTGTACAAAAGACGCCTATACGCACGCCCCCTTTCACGACTTCACGACTTGAGAACCTTTTTTGATCTGGGATACCAATGTCCCTTGTGCAGGCAAAAGCATCTATGGCGAAGCGAACACAAAATGGCAGGCCTGGCGCTGGAACGACATGAACACAACATTTTGGGGACACATCATCACAAACATCTCGTACAATCTTCAATGTATCGGATGTTCTTGCTTGTCTCAAGACCTTAACATTAGTTGATACAGCTTTCGCTTCTTTTGTGTATACTTGCAAACCCATCTTTCCAGATCCTCAAACTCACTCCCTTCTACTGCTTCTCTTTTCCTCTTTCCCTGCGCTACACCGATCGGTCTCCAAGCTTTCTTCGGCTTGAGTATTTACCAATTTATGTTCAGTCGTGCAGCAGCCATGCTTTTTTGGAGCTCCCCGAGACGCGTACATACATGTATGTTCATTATTAGAGTTTCTCCTCTGTCAACAATAAACCTGAGACATCAACACCACACATTATTCAAAATGCGTCAATGTCGGTGTGCCATCCCTTGCTCACTCTCGCCCAGGATTCGAAGCTCGCCCTTGTTCTGAATCTGGTCAACACCCCTCTCACAGGCTGGTCGCCGATAGCGATAGGCTTTTGGTACCCGGGTCCCATGCAACATTCTCCTGGACGTATCACATCGTCGCCAGGTCCGGAACAATGTCTGCATTCGCAATTTCTATCCGGCATATGGCTCCTGAGAACTGCATCGTGTATACATGGCGACTGGCTACGTAAAATTTTTGAAATGCTTTTATTCTGAGCCGTCGTACATGATTCGCGAAGTCCAGCATCGTTGTGACAGAAAAACGTCGTGGACTAGCCAATAGACCGACCTTGCTGACTGACGTATTTACCCAAAGCTAATAAGATTTTCGATCCATGCCCACAACACGGCCAAAATCCAGAGCGAGCTTGATGAATTTGTCCAGGTGCTGCTGATCGCTTGGGAAGCTGCGGTCGTCGATATCGCCGTCTCCGTGGGCCAATCATACCGAGACTCGCTCGTCGACGTCGTTGAACTCGTCGAAAAAACTACAACCGGCAGACTGGCGCGAGTCTTGTTGGCCTCAGAACCAACCGTCTCCATCGTTGTTCGAGTACGGCCTGCCATGATCTCAAGTCCATCAGAGCCATAGCTGTACGTGGTCCCACTCCTCGTGATCTCGGTACCGGCGAAACTGATGACATTCGAGGTAGTGGCAATGGGAGTGAGCAGAACCTCGCCTGCTTGTATAACGGTCGGCGAGGGTCCCGTTACCGCAGCGCTGGTCAATGCGGTCAAATGTGCCGTAGTCTGATCAACTACGATGGCCCCCGAGTTGATGCTAATCGCGTGACCGGAGATAGTGGCCACATCGCCGCTGCGGAGAGTGTTGGACCCGATGATGAAATAGTCGCTACTTTGGAGAGCTGTAATAGTCGTACTTGAGAGAGTGAGCACCGCACCAGCTGCAAAAGAGGTCTGCGTCTCATGGTGGGTTTGTGTTGCTTTTGGCTGCGCGTTCGAATGCCTGGAGCTCTCAAGAGACTGATTAGGGTCGTGTGAAAAGGATTGGCTGCCTTCTGGATGACTTGCTCCAGGCGAAGTTAGAATAGGGTTCGTGAAAGTCGACAAAGCTTCGGTGAGGATTGAGAAAGCCGGCGCGTTCGCTATTTCTGAAGTAACGGGGTCTGTGGGATCGAGAGGGCCTGCGCCAGGATCAGATACTGCAGGTTGAGCTGGAGCTGAAGACGGGTCGAACTTGAAGCTGAACGTTGAGGTGACGATCTTCGTGATCTTAGGAGCCAAGCTGGTCGAGACCCCTTCGTTGGGCCGTGATTGAGAATGGTGACTAGCACTTGTCAGAGTGGTTTGGCCGTTCCCGTCGCTATTCAGATTAGATTCAGTGCTTGGGGTCGCAGAAGAATGTGGTAGAGCCGATGTGATAGCAGCTGCTGGATTTTTAGGAGTTGAAGCAGCTGCAGCAGAAGTACTTGTCGTAGTTTTGGCCGTAGGAAGAGTCGGTTGTGCGGCAGTTTGCTGCTCTTGTAGAGTGATCGGTGGATCGAACCAGAATCCTGCCATGTACTTTGGCTCCAATGTACATGTCTTCCATGCGGGATCCAGGTCAGTGATCTTGCTAGGAATATCGATGAGTGGGTTCAGGTGCTGGTAGATCGTATTGCACCAGCTCGGTCTCGGAACAGAGTCATCAAAGTCATATTTAGCACAGCGACCTTGACAGGCCCATGCAGACGCCGGTACAGGCCAGTTCATATCCGCATAATTGATCTGCGTATTAACTCCTGTGCCGCTGCGTTGCGTGCTCACTTCAGAAGACTCCAAAGTCAGGATGAAGTTGCTCAGTGGGGTGCCGACTGTAAGATCAGGATAGCCATCTTCAGTCGCAAACAATGAAGCCATCGACAAATAGACCTTGCCGCTCGTGAAGATACGTCCCAATGCCGAGACCGTGTTTGGTTGACCAGATATGGTTGGGGTTGCTTGTATTGTTGAGCCATTTCCAGCACACAAATCACCGTCAACAGTGGTGACAGGAAAGTATAATAATTCCACCGCATCCTTGATGGCGAAGACACAAGGCTCATTCCCGTGGACGGGGTTGCCGCAAAGATTGAGCAAAGCGTCTTCGTTGATAGTCGATGCATTCGAGTTGTGATACCATATGTAGCAGTCCCGCTGAGACGGCTCACAAGGCTGAGGCTCGAATGTCGGCGTTGCTAATGAGGTGTGCGTAAAGACACCCATTGTAGTGAATGAGGTTATGGTTGATGTGACAGGATCAAGGTCAACTCTAGCTGAGCCATCACACAGTGTGTAGGTGCTGACATTGGTCGGATAAATCGTGGTGGTTACAGTCGAATTAGCCGTTGCCAGTGTAGTCGTTGTCACCAAGGGCCACGCGCGATTCGCAACAGTTGCGCTGTACCATTCCAAGCTCGAGGATGTCCAGGTCATGATTTGAGACCAGCATTGTTGAGCCTTTTGTACAGATTGTGGTACGTTGATACCTGGTGGGAACACGCCGGGCGACATGCCATGAAAATGTGCGGCGGACGCAGTGGAATAGAAGCCATTTGATGAGGTCAATGGACTGGCTGTACCAACCAGTGAACGCACCAATGTCGAAGGCTTCGATTGTGTACCAGTTGACTCTGTTGATATTAACGTAGCATAGCTTGTAGTATTAGGATGGTATAGAAATAAAACAAGAAAGCAAAGCATAAGCGACAGTGAAAGCTGCATCATCAAGATGACAGAAGAAGAGAAAACCAAAGCAACGAAGACATATGCATATAGGGACTTGAGAGGAAGCCACCAGCCGCTGGATACTTAAGCATATGCACAATCGTCCATCTGCTGCACGATCACAGTCCCAAGCGCTTGAGAAAGTGGACTTTTGCGGCGTGACGTCTGGGTAAATGATGGAGGCCATGGTATTGTGAAACCGTGAATCCAGAGGACAAGACTATTGGGCACGTAGCGAGAGTTTGAGCACTTGGCACGCTCCAAAGTAGATGCGGTGATATTTTCAGGCTGCTGTGCCGTTAGACTGCATGGTGCTGGCACGCTCTGCCACACATGTTGTCGTGTAGCCGCCGGGCCCAATGGAGCAGGCCGGGATCAACTTTGATTGTGCGGAATCTGGTCATCGCAAGCTTGGCAGCGACATGATGGCAGCTACCATGAGGCGAGGCGTTGTGTGTTGACAACGGCGGAAGCTCAGTCTGCTTGGGTGTTGGAGAGTGATGATGAGGTGCAGAGGTGTAGGTCGCAACTGATCGATTTTCTGTATTCGCGGTGGAGAACTCCATCTAGCGTCTTGCCTAGCCGAACCAATGGGAGAAGACTCGACCTCCGCGACTGTTCATCGCACAGCAGTACGCAAAGCATTAGGCCTGGCTCCTTGCGCTCATCCCTCCACCTCCATACACGATGCAGCGCGTGATACAGCGGTCTAAAAGGGCGGAGAGGGTTGCAAACAAAGCCAGAAAAGAAAGACTCGAACGCGAAGCAAAGTCGAAAGCATGGGAACGAAATCAGGCACGAGTGCGAATGGTCAGAGAGAACACGAAGGCATTGCAACAAGATCGAAAGAATCGTCGAGAGGACTGGCAAGCCGGCGCGCTGGCACCGCGAAGGGATGTCGGGGATCTCCAAACCAGATACGGCGCAATCCCAGTCTTCAGCATCCATTTGCCAGAGCGAGATCCTGAGGCCAGGCCGAAATGGGCACCCATACGAAAAGGAGACAGAGTAGTCGTCTTGAGTGGCAGAGACCGCGGCAAGATTGGCGAAGTCAAGGACTACGATAGCGTGAGAGCCGCAGTGCAAGTGGCCGGCCTGAACATGGTCGACATCATAGTACCAGAGTGGTTGAGGCAGGAGAAGAACATCGAAGACCAGCCAGAACTGCAGAGCGTGGAGAAATTCTTTCATCTCGAGGATGTACGGCTTGTATTCCCGCTCCCGGATCCGGAGACTGGAGAACCGCGAGACGCCATTATTGACCAGCTGGTTGAAACATCAAAAGGTCGACGTGCTATTGCTGGTACTAACACCATAATTCCATACCCACCCCAAGATAAAGCGGTCGGTCACACAGATTACGATTGCGATACTGTTCGGATGGTTCTTGAAGAGCGCACCTTCATCCCCACCCTTATAAGATCGCCCATGCCACTATCAGTCATTGATGAGCTGCGAGGCAGGTACAGCAAATTTAGGACACGGCATCACCACGAGTATATCCAGAGGAAGGAAGCAGAAGACGTTAGGGAGCAAGCACGGAAGGGACTCATCAAGACTATGCGTACGCCACTTCAGCAGCTTGCTGAGCTTCGGGAGAAGAAGAAGAAGGAGGAGGACAGGGAGCTCACGGTTGAGCAGTTGGCGAGAATCGGAGAAGTCATGGCGATGGAGCGGACGAGGAAGCTTGGCGGGCAAGCGGCTACTGCGTGAGGCATGCGTATTGCTCGTTTGTAAGATACCCAATGTATACTGTGCTCTCAGCGTGTTGTCGGCCAAAGGCATCACTTCCACCTTCTGGTCAAGCCGTCTAATCAACAATGCGGAAATCGTCTTCTCTTTCATCTGCAAGCTGACAGGAGACAGATACAAATGCTGGAAAAGGTGAAAGCCCCGATGCTCATACGTGAATCATGTTTCGATCTGGTGTCATCTATGTTCTGTCTATATCCGCTTCGAACTACACCCGACTACGATCGCCATCATACCGAATCGTGGTCCCTCTTTCCGCCACGTCGCGCTCTGTATCCGAACGCTCTTCAACATGCGAAGCAGCATCGACATCCTTGCCAACCACATCATCCTCACCATCAAATTCCTGCCTATGCTGCAGCACATTTGCTCGTCGATACCTCGGAATAGTATCCATAGTAGCACCCTTGATGACATTCCCGTCGAAAAGCAAATGGATTTTCTCCAGCGGCACATTCGAAGTCTCGGGCACACAGAAGACAGTATAAATGACCATCAAACAGCAGCAGCCTCCAAAAAGCAAGAAGGTGCCATAAGTGATATCGCTGAGCATGATGGGTGTGATCTTAGCAATCACGAAATTGAAAAGCCACTGCGTCATGAGCGCCGCCGCCATAACGAGTGATCGAACATGGTTTGGCGCGCATTCTGCTGAGAGCACGAATGGAATTGGGCCCCAGCCGAAGGAATAGAAGACCACGAATAGGTAGACGCAGACGATGGCGAATGTGCTGTTGCCGTTGAGACTGGACCCGGCGACGACTGGGTTGACGGCTTGGTTGACGCCAATGTAGAACATGCTGAAGGCTTGGCCAAGGCCACCGATGATGAGACACCATTTGCGACCCACTTGTTCTGTTGTGAACGCCAGGCCGAGGGCTGTAATGACGACTTTCACAACTCCGTAAATTCCAGTAGCGAATAGACCGGCGGATCGTCCTTCTAACCCCACCGATTTGAAGATTTGAGGCGAATAGTAGTTGATGCTGTTTGTTCCGGTCCATTGCTGGAATGCCATTAAGATTATAGCCATCGAGAAAGTGTAGAAGATCTTGCTATCAGCGCAGGTCACCTTGACCTGAGCAACTAGAGGCATCTTCTCGTGGCCGTTGAAGTCCTCGATGATCTCATCAAGCTCACGCTGAACTTCTGGATCAGAGACCACTCTAGCGCGGACCTTTGCCAGAGCTCGACGTGCTTTTTCGATCATGTTCTTCTCGACTAACCAGCGTGGACTCTCGTTCTGGAAGACAATGCCTGCCAATAGTAGCGCTCCTGGAAGCATTTGCAGAGCGAACGGGACCCGCCATTGAGTGGCGCTGTTCTCCGAGATCGATTCGTTCACGCCATAGTTGACGAAGTAGCTCAGCATGATACCAGTAACATTGAAGAGTTGCATGCAGCCGATACATCTTCCTCGGATCTCCTTGTTGGCATTTTCTCCAATGTAAGTGGGCACAACCGCGCTGATAAGTCCAACACCGAATCCACCAACCACGCGACCAACATAGAGCTCGGCAAGTCCGTTGCTAGTCAGGCCAGCACAAGTCTGGATGATGCTTCCAACGATGAAGATGATGTCTGCGATGATCAAAGCAGATCTGCGGCCAAATGTGTCCGAAACGTAGAAACTGGACATGGCTCCAAAAAAGCAGCCAGCTTGAAGGACCGACACAATATTTCCAGAGAGATTGCTGTATTCAGGTGTGCCCTCGACCAGACCAAAAGAATCCTGAAAGCTCTTCATGGTCAAGACTCCTCCGATAAGTCCAGTATCCCAACCGAAGAGCATGCCGCCAAAGGACGCGACCGCAGTAAGGAAGTAAGCCCTCCGATATTGGACAACATCCTGCCATATCGCGTTGGCTTTCGTGGTCGCCATGCTTGGTTGAAGCGGACGATACTCTCCACGTTCTTCACGGTCAGTCGCGGAGAGAAATCGGCTCCAAAGTCCTGGTGCAGAATTGCTGGAGCGCTGCTTATTCTTCTTTCGCGGGCGGATCAAACACTTGATATAATCCATATCGCGCCATGCCCCACAGCGCAGAGACGCAAACGCCGCTGTCACCGTGGCATCTGTGAAGATCCGCACTCGTGCGTGCATTCGCCGCCGTCACCAGTCGTTGCTCGTGGCGAATCGGCTCACTGTGGGTTGAAGGATGCGGAGGGTGTGGAGTGTGGAGAAGAGCGTGCCGCGACTTCCAGCCGTCGGTGACTGAGAATCAGGCATGAACATTTTTGGAGTGCGAGAGCAGTTGCCGATGACGCGGTCCCGAAAATTGAAAATGTCCGACACATCAATGCCAGAGCAGAGTCGAGTTCAAAGGCCGCTGAAATAGTGTCTGACAAATGCTACTGCGTGATGGGCGACACTTCGTCTTTCCTTCTCACAAAAGCCTAGGCTACGCAATGCTTGGACGCAGGGATCGCAGCACTAATATCAACAGTGAGTCGCTCGATCTCGGTCTACGTCGTGATGTCGCGCATTGAGAGGCATAATGCCCAGTACCATCACATTTGTATAACTGTCAACCCGGCGTCGCTTGATCTATTGGACAGTCTGGTAGCAACATAAGCTGTCGTGGTCTCGTGACAATGAGATCTGTACGCCGCAGCAGATGGCTGAGAGAGCAAGCGCTGCCCTTAGACCTTTTTCTGCTCCGGTATCTGCGTAAGCAGACCTTTGCCCTCTATCGCCGACTTCAGATTGTCGAGGACCAATATTTCCATCTCCCTCTGCGTTTCCCATGTAGCTGTGCCAATGTGAGGAAGCAGGACAACGTTCTCGTTCTCCAGTAGTCCAGGATGGATGTTGGGCTCTTCTTCAAAGACATCGAGACCAGCCGAGAACACCTTGCCAGAGTTCAGAGAATCCACTAGGGCAGCCTCGTCGATGATTGGCCCTCTTGCGGTATTCACGATGACCACACCATCCTTCATCATGTCGAATTGTGGTTTGGCAATGATATGGCGAGTTGACGGATTCAGAGCAAGATTCAGACTAATAACGTCCGAGGTCCGCATCAAATCATCAAATGAGACATACTTCGCTCCACGCTCTTTCTCTTCAGGTAGTCGGTTCCTGTTGTGGTATTGTATCGACATTCCGAATGCCTTTGCTCTTTCTGCAACTGCCTGGCCTATGCCGCCCATGCCAAGTATTCCGAGGATTTTATTCTTAGGATCGTGGCCGAGCGCGAAGTTTTTGCCTCTCCATTCTTTTCGTCGGCATGCGAGGAAGGGTATAGAGACTCTACGAAGAGCGCCGAGCAGGAGGAAGAGTGCAACTGCTGACTGTCAGACAGCTCAAATGTAATACAGGACTTTGCAGCATATACCGTCTGCCGTTGCAGCGTCTACTGCGATTGGTGTGCTGCTGACCTGGATACCGCGATCCGTCACTGCTGGAACACTGATATTGTCGTAGCCAGCTCCGTTGTGTGTTATATACTTCAAGCTCTTCGGTAGCACATCGACAAGCTCCTTATCGAAAGGTCCGGTGACGCTGGTGGAGTCGTTCGATCGGTAGAGACCGACGACGTCGTCGAACTCGCCGGCTTTACATTTCGCGATGAAATCTTCTCGTGTACCTGTTTCGTATTCCTGCGAGAAGTCAGCAGGCGGGAACGGATGCCGGAAGAGTTGTATACCTTTAACTCGGCTATTGATTTGAGTGCTTCCCATTCTTTGCGAGCATGAGCCAAGTTGCCAATCAGCAATGCAGATTTTGGTGCAGTCATGTTGATGGTAGTCTTTGGATTACTAGAAAGAGGGGAAGGTTCACGGCACTCCAAAAGGTGTAGAAGAGGAGCTCCTGCAAGAAGTCCCGTTGTTTAGTCCCAGGCCGGTACTTGGATGGCCGTTGCCGAACCGTCATTATCCGCAGCCAAGGCTTCGGCCCCCATTCACATGGACTTTAGAAAGAAGTCAGGCGACTGTCTCGGGCCGTCCATTTTACTGCAAGCCCAGATTGTTCCAGTCGTCGATGCCGCTGAGAGTGTCGAACAAAAAGTTGTTGCTGTCCGCAGGAAGGAATCCAGACCACCAATCCGCATCGCTGATCGCGGCACCACCATTTCCGTTGATCGCAAAGTTTCCAATGGCGTCCAGGTCTGTCCAAGAGAAATCGCCCATGAGTTCTGTGTGAGCCGGCGAGTCATGTGTCTTTGTCGATGCGTTTGAGGCAGGAGTTGGACCACCCACGCTTCCGGGCCGGTATGGGTTCTGCAGTGTAGCAGTAGAATTGCCTGCTCCACGTCAGTATGAATCACTTCGCAGATCGAAGGTTGTCTTACCTTTTCTCTCCTTCCGCTCAACTTTATCCCATAGTAGCTTCAGCAGTTGCGCATAGCGATTGCCGGGGTGCTGCATGCCGATGCCTGACCTCTCGAGCCTGTTGACCGTTTCCTTCACCATGGCTCGGACCGATTGTTCTTCGTCCGCGGCAAGCACACCAACACATCTGGCTCTGTACAGAAACACGCCGGAGTAGATCGAGTAGAGATAGAAGCGCAGTGGCATGAATCGAAGAGATTTTTCCGGATCGACAAAATTGTTGAACATACTAAGGAGGCTCTTGGCAGCATCTAGGCCTTCGTAGATGAAGCGAGCATCGCCGACAGCGCCAACATTGTTGTAGAAGACTCGGCCAGGAGCAGGATGCGCCCCTCGCCGACTCTCTTGATTCTGTTGGATCTGTGGAAGTGCTCGCTTCACGGTGGCATGAAAGGCGAACGCATTCGTGTAGAGTCTCAGGTAGTCGTACGACATCAGTAGAGTGGCCTTCAAGTGCGGCGAGCAGGTGAGCGTGCCCCATACACTCTTCCAACCATAGATTGCCGAGCGAAAGTCGTCGATGTATTTGATGTAGCCTCCAGCCAGATGGCTTCGCATGCTATTGCCGGGATTTGAGTAGAGGACGTCGTGGACATTCGAAAATAGAAGTGTCAGCTCCAACGTGGCCTGGAAAAGGCTAGCATAATCTTCCTCGCCAGGTATCTTGGGCGCCAGCATAGGAAAATCGGCCTTGGAGAGGGTGGTCAGTGGACCTGGACCGCGAGACCAAAACGCACGCCCTAACCGTATGCTGATTTGCCGGTCGCTGATATAGCAAGCAGTCCAGACCAGTCGTTTCCGCTGCCAGTGAGGGTCTTTGATGTCATCACCGCGGACGTGAAAGGAGTACCGGTCGAGACCCAGGAAGTAGCCAATTCTCAAAGCCATGCCCACGTGCATCCATGCTTCTCGGTCTTCTTCTCCTCGACCCACATGTCCAGCTTCTGAACGTGAAGTGTAAGGGGTCCATTCGGCTAAGACCAGTAGCGCCTCAACAGCTTCGACATTGCCGGCTCCACCAGCAGCAAGAGCCGAGACAAGTGAGCGCATGTACTCAGAGCAAGCAATAAAGATGTGAGGCTCGTCAGTCAGATCGCGCGAGGCTACGACCAAGATGGCAGTCAGCAGGTGGGCCTCTTCTCTCGCAGTCCTGGTCAGATGGACTGCATCCAGGGTATGTCTAGGCACAAGCGGAAAGTAGGGATGATAGCAATGCTTGTAGCGCTGCAGCAGCTGGATGATCTTCGAGAGGTCGAGCTTGCCGTCTCGAACCAGAGCATATTCGAGCTGGGAACTGTTTGGGCGTAGGTAGTGATGAGAATCACCATAGGCGGTCTCGCCGTTGCCGCCGTTGCTTGCGATCTGCGCCAAAATGCCGAGCGCATCACTTGGATTTTGCAGGTCGTTGAAGGCAATGCCAGAGACCGTGGAAGATTCTCTGGTGCCGCGGTTGCCCAGGAATGAAGTCTGGGGGCTGGTCAGCAAGTATGGAGCGCGAGCATATGGCAGGCACCAACTTCACGGGCGTTCGCATCGGATGCCTGCAGGGCGGGATCAAGCATTATGCTTGGGGTCGGTGGATTGACGTCTGCGGTGGCGCCGTAATCGTGGCCGGGCCAGTGCGTCCGCTGGGTTGTGGGCGATATGGCGTCGCTCGGAAAGGTGATGTGATCTTGAGCACCTGCTGATGCAGGCGACTCGCGCGGTGGCTGACGAGCATTGTCGGCGAGGGCTGCTTGGTCGAGCGGCCGCTTCCTCACGCGTCGGCCGCCGCGATTGCTGGATCCAATGACACACTCGAGGTTGGAAGCCTTACATCTCTCACATGGCGTGCTTGCGACTCCGTCGACGGTAGGCCTGTCACAGCGGTCAGGTCAGTAGTAGTACTCAGTACCCGGTGCTCAATCGCCGACGCCGACGCCGACGCGAGGCGGCACACGACACTGGCCGAAGCCATCGAAAGCATGATCAGCACGTCTGGCTTACAGGTGGCAGGCCGACTTGCGCGCTCTGCACGCCAGGCACGCTCGTGACGTCCTCTTTTCCTTCTTGTCTTCCCGCGCGTCCTTCGCCGGCGACTGGTCGCTGTCTTTGCCGCCCTCTGCCTCTGCCATGTCGTGCTTTTCTTTTCCGCTGGTGTTGGTGTTGGGCGCGTCCTGGAGTAGAATATGATGCGTTCGGCAGCTTCGGCTCCCGCTTTGCCGAGCTTGCCGGAAGGTCACTCTCCCATCACGCCGTCACTTCCCGCTGCTTGCACGGAGCATAGTGGCCTGCACGCCGGGCCTGGCCACAGTATCTTTGCGCATCATAATAGATAGTTCGTGTTGCCGTCGATGTGTGCTGAGGCCCCTACCCCGCATTCACACTCAGACTCCGCTCCATCTCGAGATTCCCGCGACAATGGCTACTAATCCAGGAAACGATATCAAAGGCCGGCTTGTCTTGATCACGGGAGCTTCGGGCGGGCAAGTGAAGGGAATGACGGGAATCCCTCCAGACATGAGCTAATGTTATGTATGAATGACAGCATTGGCTCAGCGTGCGCAAGACAGTTTGCAGAGCTCGGATGTGATCTCGCCCTGACATACTCCTCCAACCGCGCTTCATTGGAAGCTTTGGTCAAGGACTTGCAGCCGATTGTCAATGGGCACAGTGGTAGCCACAAGAGCACTCTTCGCATTTCCATGCACAAAGCCGACTTGTCTTCGCCTGAAGAGACGACGCAGCTATGTGAGGAAGTCCAGAAAGACCATGGTCGAGCTGTTGATATTCTCGTCTCTAACGCTGGTTATGGCAAGAGAATAAAAGACGTTTCGGACATTCCGCTGAGCGAGTTTGAGATTACTCTGAACGTGAATTTGAGAGCTCCCTTCCTACTCGTCAAAGGAGTCGTAGATGGTATGAAAGCACAGAAGTGGGGCAGGATCATTTTTGTGTCCTCCATCGCAGCGTACGGAGGTGGCATGAACGTAAGCTTCGGATTCACACTTTGATCTGCGGGAGTCATGCTGATCTTGTCAAGGGATGCCATTATGCGGCTTCCAAAGGTGGCCTGGTAAATTGTTGAAGCGACTCGATGCATTCACAGCTGACGCGCGGGCAGATGGGAATGATGAAGAATCTCTCCACCAATTTAGCACCTTGGAATATCTCTGTCAACGATGTAGCACCGGCTATGGTCGGGAATACTGGTGTGTGAAATTTCGAGAATCACCGCATTGTCGGGATAATGACTGATAACGGCCAGGTCTGTTGCCGTCTGGCGACCAATTTCCTGGGCTGGTCGATAGCATACCGTTGCACCGACTTTGCGAGCCTGAAGAGGTTGCGAATGCCGTCACCTTCTACGCTCGCACAGGTTTCACCACTGGGCAGAGTGTGATAATCGCTGGAGGTCTGAAGTGATCAGTAACGGCATCTAGCCTTTTCCGATGGTATCTGTAATCAATTAGAGAGGCTGTAACAGCTCGAGCGATGCAGTTCTTTTGCTTCTCACAGCCGTGTATTGCCGATCCTGACCAGTGCCGGATCCCTTTTGCACTGCTATGAAAGCTATCGAAAGAAGAGGTTTTTGCGGGTAGCTTTTGGTCTGGTACTCTCGAGGACTGATCTCGATAGTATCAGCTTGCAGATGTTGAGACCTCAATGCCTGTCGCAGTACGATCTTTGTCTAATGAGGTGGGTAGGAGTCACATGTTCTTTTCACCCTCCCTTGCAATGTGTGTACCTCGCTCATATGCTCTCGATCGTTTTGCTGACTGTGAGCGCCTAAGCAACGCAGGACCGGCCAGAACCCCTATTATACCACTCCGCAAGATGGCAAGAAGTATATAAACATCAAAGTCTGCGAGTAGCCACCAGACCTCATCATCATCAACTTGAAGCGGTCCTTTTCAGGAAGAATAAATAAGACCATTTCGTGAAGGATGAATGCGGAACCGAATACCAAAAGCAATCAGCGCATAATCACCCTCCGGTTGCCCATCGCGGACTTCAAGGATCGAGGTTGATAATTGGCTGGAAAAGTGCTTTGACGGCCGTGAATTCCCCGTGATGGACCTGCCTGTCGCGCGCCCCGCACCAATGCTATCTGTGAGTCGTGATTGCCTCGTAATCGCATGCCATTGGAACTGGCAGGCGGCAAAGTCATTCGACTGCGATATGGTTGAGAACCAGCAGGTGGTGCATATGATCCGGTCTGAAGATTAGGCTGAAGATTGATGCCCAGACTCATATTGCTCCGCACAGGCCCTCGCTGATAGCTGCTGGAGACAGTATGGTACGGTCTCTCAGAACCATCGAGACGTCGATGGTTCCTCGAATCATGTGGCGTTTGAATGAAGGAAAGGCTGTTCAGACTTGTCCGATGCGGGGCCTGAAGTGGTTCAGGCGACTGCTGCGTGTAGCTGTAGCCAGGCCGGTCATATTGGTCATGTCTAAGAGGCGCAATCTTAGGAGGCGGCATTCGATTGCTCATGGTGTGAGCCCCAGGGCGATCTCCATCTCGCGAAGAGATTGCGCCCCTACTGAAGAAAGGACTCGAGACTGATGATGCCGGAGGGTCGGGATGCATCCGATGAGATGTGGTCGGCATTGCCCGGCTGCGTTGTTGTATGTCACCAAGGCGCCCAAACGCGGTTGCGTTCTCCTGGCGGGGCTGCATGAAAGAAGTACTACCCTCACCAGGCGTGGGCGCACTTGAATCCCACATTGGCGCATGATTTCGAGTTTGAAAGGGCTGCTGGTACTTGACTGGACTTGTTGGGTGTTCCGCATGTGATAGATCACGAGATATGCCGTGAGACTCGCGGTCACTTCTTCTCCGTGGCGGCTGGGCCAGAAGCGGCTGTCGATGAGATTTGGACTGCGCCAGCGCGCCTGAATGGCGAGTGCTCCCATTGACGTTTCGTGCTCGGCCGACTAATGGATCGGTTTCTTGATACGTTGGAACTATGTCCATTCGCGACATTTGAAACGATGGGCGATTGTGCCCTGCAGCGTCAAGATGAGATAAAGATCGAGTGTCGAGAGCATGCTGGGTCCCACGAATGAATGTTGCGGAGGCCTGTGCCTCTTCAGGTTGCGATCTGTTAGACCGTCTGAGGGGAGGCATTATTATCTGTGCATCATCGACGCGGGCCGTTTGATTGCTGTCTTTGTCGCTGATGTTCGCATAGGCGTCGTATTCAGGCATCTTCCGTTTTCGCGAGGACGAGCTTCGGCGTTGATCTTCCACTACAAAAGTTATAATTAGCTCTTACATCTGAAGGAGGGCGACACTCGTTGATACCAAGCGTAGCTGAGCTGTCGACGGCAGTCTTTGAAGGGACCATGGCAGACTGGCCTCCTGATCGAGGTGGGTCCAAGCCATACTTCTTGTGCGGCATATTGTAACCAAGCTCGATCAGCGTATCCCGCATCATCTGAATGTCGCTTTTCATGTCAGTGATGTGCTTCATGAAGTGGTCTCCCAGCACTCACATCGTCATCTCCTGCACGGCGTCCATGTAATGCTTGATGACAGCCTTTCTGTTCTCCCATTTCTGCAGTTTGGCCATAGTCACCTCGTGGCGGCCCTGCAGCTCCTGAACCTGTGTCTCTGCTTTACGATGCAGCTTGCGTTCCGTGGCCAAAGTGCTCTCGAGAATGGCACGTTTGCGCTCAACTGCCCTCAAGCCTTTGAAGCTCTGCTTCGCCTGCCGAATCAGGTGCGTGTACTGGAACTACTGCTGTATCAGCTTCCCAATCACCGAAATGTATGATTGTTTTCAGTAACATACACGTAGCGCATCCATTTCAGAATCGGTCGCGTCGAGCTTTCTCGGAGGACATCTGAAGTAGTCCCGCGGGATCACCTCGTCGTACTGCCCGTCTTCCAAGCCTCGGATGCCGAAGATTTCTCGCATAGAAGAATCATTATTATCTTGAACACACAGAGGACATGCTGCTCTCGGAGGTATTCCCTTCGGATGAAACGGCGCAGCTATGTCGATCAGCATGCGCTGGGCTGGGCAAGAGGAGACAGAGCGACTCACCTGCACCCTCCAAATGTTTGCCACAAAAGACATGTGAGCATTCCCCTATCCACAACTTGGTGATGATGCCGTGGCCAGAGCCTGGATCACTGGAGAAGCCTTGATCGTGCTCTGGAGTAGCATATAAATCTGACACTGTGGCCTGGCAGATGCCGCAGCTGAAGATGATCTCTTGAATCGGTATGTCCTTGTCGTCGTCCTCGCGGTACTGTGTCGCAGGCGGCGCCATGGCGCCTTTCATGTGTGCAAATGCTTGGAAAGTTGGAAATGGAAGCTGTGCATTTAGCTTGTCGCGAGGAAATCGCGCCTGCCCGCCCCGGATGTCGCACCTTCCACTCGCATGCTGCACATTTCGCGCCACTCACATTTCGTGGAGAGCTTTTCGCAAGAGTCACAGTGATGATTCGACCGGGACGCTCTTTATGCGTCTTCTTATGTTAGTTACGAGTAAAGCCTATATACATCTCCTGAGTGCCCGCGCATATCTAGTCTATATGAAAGTCCTGCAAGGGTAGCTGCGAGATGGTTAGCAACCTGATCTCCACTTCAGAGATATATGTGTATACATACCCTGAGCCGTATGTCTGTTCGTTTTCGCCCACCAGCTCGTATCGCTTTCCTTTAGGATGTCTTGACGTTGGCAGCGGCGGAAGTCCATCTGGCCCAAGGACGCCCTTCGCGACAGAGCTGTTCTTCTGGAAGTATGTCGCTAATCCTCTCTCTCCTTCCTCCTTGACCTCCACCAGTTGCGTCTTGCCAGCATCTCCGATCTTGAGCACATCGTCCTTGGGCGCTGCTGCCGATCCCACTGTCAACAGCGCAACGACATCGGGCTGTGATACTACTGAAAGCTTTGGGTACGATCTCCGTACATCGCGCTTCCAGTATGGGTTCTCTGCCAGGTCGGCTGCAGGCACGGTAACAGGGTCGGTGTACTCCAGTGGATCGTTGCCGCCGGGCGGTGGATTGCGGAATTGCGGGTTCAAAGGGACACCACTTGATCGGCTTGGGTCGAGGGCGAGAAACCTGTGTACTCGTCCCCAGAATCCTGTCGGTTGCACGGTGTATTTCTGGTTGTCGATGTTAGCAGCGGCACGTGGAGCGCTGAGCGGAGCGCTGGCATACATTGATCTTCGTGGCCGTTTTTGCGCCAGCACTGGCCTTCTTCATCCCAAGAGTCGCCATGATAGCGGTCTGGAGAGTCTGAGCGCAAGAAGCTGGTGTTCAGAGGGCCTTGAGTGTCGATGTCGCGGTCCAATGGCATGAGATGGGATCAGGAACGACGGCTCGGCTACACTTGCCTGTGGTGAAATGTTACACAGCTCCGCCGTCAATCTTGAGATGCTGCGAATCACGAATTTGAGAAGTTCTTTTTTGCTTGTAATATAATATGCAAGGGCCTTTGTCATGAAAGCTTTCGAGCACGATGTTTTAATCTTCACCTCAGTATCTGGCGACGCTGGACATGCCGCATGCCACTGCTGAGTGGTCACGCGGCCTCTATAGGAAAGATGAACCGATCGTGTTTCGGAACTTCTCCTTCCTCTGAACATGAACGACGACCTCTCCGAAGGCCACAATTCTTCGCCCGACGACGATACGGCCATCGAACTCGACGAAATGAGACGAGAAGATGATGCGCTCGACGCCAATCAGCCGTTGATCGCAGATAATGGGGTCGGCGACGCCCAGATAACGACACAAGCACGAATGACTATTCGAAATGCTGGCCATATTATTCGTTTCCTGACGCTGTCTGCTGGGATATCTGGACTACTATTTGGCTTTGACACCGGAGTGATCTCTTCGACTTTGGTGTCAATAGGCTCCGACCTTTCCAACCGGCCGCTGACCACCGCTGACAAGAGCGTGATCACGGCGATTACTTCTCTGCTTGCTCTTTTCAGTGCGCCAAGTACTGGATTTTTTGCCGATAGATATGGGAGGAAGTCGGCCATTCTCTGCCCTGCTCTTCTTTTCGCAGTGGGCGCCTTGGTCCAAGCCTTTTCATTCGAGGTCTGGACAATGACTTTAGGTCGTGCTTTGGTTGGAGCAGCAGTTGGGGTGGCATCTGGAGCCGTGCCCATGTATATCACAGAGCTCGCACCCGCTGAACTCCGCGGAAGGCTAGTGACAGTGCAGTCTCTCTTCATCACCGGAGGACAAGTTGTTGCGTATCTCATTGGCTGGATCTTCGCGGCTCATCCTCACGGTTGGCGTTGGATGGTCGGCGTTGGCGCCATACCGGCAGTATTGCAGCTCACACTTCTGATATGGATGCCAGAAACTCCACGCTGGCTGTTGCAAACGGGAAAGGACGAGCGAGCACGTCATGTGCTCCATCACGTCTTCGCGACTTTGCAGCGAGATGATCGGGATCGTGTCGTGCAACATGTACTGTCCAGTATACGCAACGAGATGTTGGCAGAGGATAAAGCACCACTCGGCGAAGCGGCCAGTGACGATGGAACTGGACTCCGCGCCACAGCGAAGGAACTCTTCTCTGTGCCTGCTAACAAACGCGCGCTCATCATTGCTGCTGGCCTGCAAGGCTTGCAACAGCTCTGTGGCTTTGTGCGTAACTCAAATTCATTCATGTCTGGGAAGCTACTAACACATGCAGAACTCACTCATGTACTTCTCCGCGACCATCTTCTCCTTCGTTGGTTTCACTTCACCTATCGGAACTTCACTTTCCATTGCAGCAACAAACTTCGTCTTTACTGTGGTAGCGTTTGCATACATCGATTCCATCGGCAGACGGAACATCCTGCTTTGCTCGATTCCTTTCATGACTCTCGGACTGCTTGCTTGCTCGGTGTCCTTCCTGTTCATACATCCAAACAAGTCACAAACCTCGGAACTTGACGGCACACAAAATAATGGCGCATGGTCCATAGTGCTGCTTTGCAGCTTAGTGCTCTACGTTGCCGCCTATGCTGTCGGGCTGGGTTGCGTTCCTTGGCAGCAATCCGAGCTTTTCCCACTGCGCGTCCGATCACTTGGGTCAGGTCTGGCAACCGCAACGAATTGGGGCAGCAACACTGTCATTGGAATTACGTTCTTGCCGATGATGAGTATACTTGGTGCAAGCACTACTTTCCTTCTGTATGGTCTCATCTGCCTGGGAGGTTGGTTCTGCATCTTGTCCATCTACCCAGAGACTGCTGGATTAGAGCTCGAAGAAGTAGGCAGCATGCTTAAGGACGGCTTCGGGGTGTCACAGAGCATTGAAAGATTCAGGCTTCGGCAAAAGGCCGCGCTCAGCTCCAGCGAAGGTTCTAATCACACTTGAAATTCCATGACAATCATTACACTGCACCGCTATTCGGCGAGTGTTCGAACTTCATATGCAGCTGAGGAGACTTGCTCTCGGTGGAGTCGACTTTTTCTGGCTCTAAGCCGTCAATTTGCCGCATTCCGAAAGGCACGCTATCATCGTGGAACTTAGTGCCCAATCCAAGACCAGGAGGTGGCGAGATCTTGTTCACAATCCAATGGAGTACCATCGTCGCAGGTACCCCGGCCAGGAAGTTCAGATGAAAGAGCTTAACCCAGCCATTGTATGAGCTCTCGTCAGCGAGGCTCATGATGTACCCCGGCATCAAAAAAGCCGTTCCGACCGCCCAAGAGACTGCTGCACGCCAATTAAATCCTGCGTGGTACCAGTATATGGAGGAAGAATCTCCCTTGTAAAGGTCCTCAAGCACTAATGTCCGGCTGCGAACGATCAGGTACTCGGTCAGGAGAACACCTGTGAAAGGTGCCAGGAAGATGCCGAAACCAGATATCACAGTGAGGAAAGTACTGGCATTCGAAAGGTACTGCCAAGGGTTCGAGGCCAGGCCCAAGGCGGCGAAGATATACGCTCCTCGTCTGATGTTCAAATATCGCGGCCAAAGTCCAGCCAGGTCCATGCCAGCGCTTACACTGTTAAGCACAATACTTATGCCTAGCTGAGCTCCGACACAGCCGGCTCCGGCGAAGAACACTCCCGCTCGTGCCCTGCTGGAATTGTGGTAATGACCTTGAATTGCCGAAAGGAGAACGAACGGCTCCCAAATGGTCTTTCCCAAGATGCCGTTCGCGCAACTTGTCACGATTATACCGACAGTGCCGCAGACAAATATCGCCACCGGAGCCATGATCGTCTGCGCCACGATGGGTGCAAATGGTCGATTGGCATACCTGGTCCAATCGCTTTGACCACTTCAAAAACGAAGTCAGAGCCTGCATAAGCATTTCGATAGGCGATTTCTCAACTTACAGTGTCCCACCACCCCAGGAACCAAGAATACCTGCGATGCCGAACATCATCGCCCATCCTACTGAGCCGTGCAAAGGTTTGGCTTCGATGTCGAAGAGTGGGCCAGCTCCGCCGCCCACATGATTCTGAGAGACAGCCCAAGCGAGAAGTCCGATCAGTGTCCCAACAAACATAATGCTGGAGCAAATAAAAGGAATCTGCAGCTTTTCGGGTGGAATTGCCATGATAAAGATGAAAAAGACATAGTAAATCAGCATTCCAATCAGATCTTTGGTCAAGAGTGTTCCGCCCAGCGTTGAGTCCATTCGCCACAAGGAGGGAAAGACGGCGCCAATTGTGACAGCCATGGCTTGTCCACCGTAGTAAGCCTGCAAACCATCCCAGAAAATGGTGGTAAAGGCACGAAGGGCGACTGGAAAGTAGCTTCCATACATGCCCCAAGTGAAACGGGATGCGACGGTAAATCCAATATGATGCTAAAAGGAAAGGGTAGAAGCGTCAGCAGACATCCTTAGCGAGAAAAAGCGGTTGGCAAGTGGGTGAAACGATTAGCGCTGGCAAACTGAGACAAGAGGACTACAAGGCGGGAGTGAGCAGGGCAAGGGCCTTTGCCCTTTGATTTACTTACCCGCTCCCCCATCCAGCCACACGCTATCACGAGAGGCGAGACCAGTATTGAACCGATGGCGATGGCAGCCATTGCCTGTTTGCAGTTGACACCATAAGCCAGGAGTGAGGAGCCAAGAGTATACGCTGATATGCAAAGCCCGCTGATGCACCAATAGATACAGTACGACCAGATCGCATACGTTCTGCGTTCTCGCGGCATTGGGATGAGATCTCGGTTCGTCCAGCGATCCGTCTCGTAGGTCGCATCGGCATCTTGCGGCACTTCAAGCCATTTCAGAAAGCGCTTTGTCTTGGTCATCGATGCGCGTGAAGACAATTCTTCGACGCCGGTAGTCGCTGGCTTCGGCATTGGGGGCGAATCTGCCTATGCAACTCATCCGATTCTGCTCAGAACAAATACGACAACCGTTCAAAGCATACTGGTGTCCAAAGGTGTCAGATCTTCGCACTCCCGGAGCGTTGGGCAATGGATATAATAATAAAGATGACACGCCGTCGGCCGGTGCATGTGTGTGTGGTGCCGTGTCACTACTCACTGCCAGAGCGAAGTGCCGCGTGCAGGGAACACCGATAAGCATCAGGGTATACAGTATCGGGATTCGGTAGATAGGCCGAGCGGCTGACAGTGTTACTTCAATAATGCCTCTTGTTGATTGGAAATGTTGCCCGAAACATATATAGCAGCTACGATAAGCATGGCAGCATGCGTAAATGCGATGTTGTTTGCCTCAGGCCACGCCCTGTCAGCCTGTCTCCCGAGGTCCTTTCAGACGCTCACGTGTTGGAGCCTCAGGCTGTGTACTTATCTTGGCGTGCCAAGGGCCTTAATGCCTTGCCAACTCGGCCGAAGCGAAGCTTTGAAGATGAGAAACTCGGAACTCCCACTCATTACATAACCTCACTCCTACTCAGCTCAGCGTTACCCACACTCCTTCAGACTCGGGATCGGGATTCGGAGAATTCTGCCTCGTTCATACTTCACGTGAGAGAGCCGCATCTGGCCACAATGCTCCACCTAGCTTCCGTTTGGAGAAGCAGCGCCATATTGTTGCTTTCATCTGACGCTTGGCGTGCCATAACTCAGACGCAAAGTTCATCCCACTAATCGGTCTCTTTCACTCTATGGTAGAGTTGCAGCGCTTACATGTGGGCGTAACAAACGCCTTCACGATTGTTGGGTCGCTCGCGTGACCTCTGACGACACACAGAGTCACATCACCAAAAAGCGGCACTACTGGCGGCTGGCGCTTGCACAAAGCTCTCTAGCTTGCCAGCTCTGCTATCACGCCTCCGATCCTTCGTCCATCTTTCGCTGCTGCTGCTGCCTGCCCCACTACATACCTTCAGCTGCACAGCCTGGGAAGAAACACTCACCAAACAACTCACGAAGACACCACCAAAATGCTTCAGCTCTTCCTCCAACTCTGCCTCGCGGCACTCACTTTCGCCGCACCCATCGCCGATGAGACTCTCACGACTATGAAAGCTGACGCATGGCAATACGGTACTGGAGGAGGAATTCTGGGATTCATTGTCTTGGTTCTGGACATCATTGTGTGGAGTGCGTATCCTACCAAGTCCGAAGCTAGATGCGTGGTACTGACTGTTGCCTGCTACAGTCGAGCTTCTCAAGTCCAACCGCCCAGTTAGCCACAAGATCCTGTGGGCTCTCCTCGTCTTTATCTTCCCGATCCTTGGTATCATAATCTACTGGCTCTTTTCTGATCGTCAGAAGTGGAACTCGGGTGGATATGAGCCTATTGCTTAGGTGTGAGGGACGACGGACGAGAACAAAGATTAGCAGATGCTGCAGCATGCAATATGATACGACAGAATAATGAGCTACGGCTATGGTGCTAGCAAGGAGTAGAAAGTAAGGCAAGCATTGGTGTTTTGTGATTGTGTTACGGACAGCATGGTATAATGTTCGTATTGGTCTAGCACTCTGATGGTGCGCCTCGATTGAATCGACTGCGACTTCCTTTCTCAGTAAAATTGCCTACCGCGAATTCCTTGTAAATGCTCGGCCACCGATTGATGCATGCATATGATGGCATCTGTCTCACATGATTCCTTATCCGAGCTAAACTTAGGGCATACATAGCTCTGAGGAATGCCGCTTGCCGCTTGCGTCGGAACATCGACCTCGACTCACTCTGTCAAAGGAAGAAACTTGTAATACTGACAGCAGTGTCTGCCTTTGCTTGATTTGTTGAAAAGCAAAACAGCAATAGTTCGTGCATAGGACCCGAGTCCGGCGGCCGAGGAGGCTTTCGTAATCAATCAATCAATCAATCAATAATCAATCGACAGGCTTCCAGAACCGATCGTGCACGCGGGAGTGGGAGTGGGAGCGTCATCCTACTGCCTTGCCTGTCACTCTCGCACGCATCCCCCCGCGCACCTATCCGAGACCTACTAACTGCAACGACGTCTATTTCTTCATGAACGAGAATGACACCATGTCGCAGACCGGCGACCATCAGGACACACGGAACGATGACACGATAGATTGGGAGAACAGCTTGAACCTGGACTCGGACGATGCATCACAACAAAGCGCTTTTCACGGACCACCTGCGCACATTGCCGCTCGCTTCTACCGCAGTCAGAGACGTAAGAGTTCTGCTGCTTCGTCGCGAAGAAACTCGTTGTCTTCCGCGCAATCGCATACCTCTGGACGCTCGTCGCGCCGGAACTCATACGGAGGATGCCAGTCCACCTATATCGCCCAGCATCTTCGCCGCGCCTCCATAATTGAGTCGCGAAAGGCTCGCCTAGCAGATCGAGCTGCACATGCCGAGCAGGTGCGATTGCGCGCTGCTCTTGCCAAAGCTGCGCCACGAGGCAGCACCACAAGTAGTGAGGAACGCGCGCTTGCTGCTCAGGTCGCCAAGGAGAAGTACTTGGCAAAGGTCGCGGCAGCATGTGCGGAAGAAGTTGCGCGCGCAAAGCGCATCGCGGAGCAGGTCAAGGAGCGGAAGCTGGCTGAGGAGACGCGTGTGCGCATGGAGATGGAAGAGCGCCATGCCGAAGCCGAGAAGAGACGAGCTGAGTATCAACGGAACTTGCAAGCACGCAGGGCGAGACGTGCGGACAGTGCTGAGAAGAAGTTGGCCGTACTGGAGGAGGTAGCAGACATCGAAGAAGAGGCTTTAATCGAAGAGATTGAGGATGTCAAGCTTCTGGACGAGAGTGCTGCTGCTCAGCGTATACAGCATGCCTGGCGTCTTCATATGCGCAGCAAGCCAGTGCGAGCCTTCAGACAGTGCTACGTGATTGCCGACCGCTTCCGGAATTCGACATTTGAGGAAATGACTGCCTTCGTTGCCGATACGCCAGTCATCGATGCCACCACTGCCATACTGACGCACCTCGGGCTACAAGATGAGAACGATGCTAACGCTGCCTTGAACACCAGGACTTTCCTCAGCGCCTACATGATAATTGGACACCCAACTTCGGTACTGATCAACAAGACTGGAGCACAGGAATCAGACTTGATCACGAAAGCATCAGAACTTGTTGGCCAATTCGAAGCTTCAGTTGCGCGACTCGCTCGCTGGAACAATTATACTGCGAATCCCATCCAACTTGAGGCTCTTTCTCAGCTGTACACTGCATACACTTCAGCTTTTGCTGCATGGCGCCTGCAGGACTCCAGTGTCCTCATCGAGGGCATGGTTGCGTCTTTCGTGGAGCTGGATGCAATTTGGCAGACCGTCAAGGACGATAGTCGTGGCGAGGTCGCTACTGATTACCGCGAAGGCATTCGCGACAACCAGGTCATGCTCCTGAGCAGAATCCGCAAGCTCGCCGGGCCGGAAAGGGCAGATCGATTGATCAAGAAGGCAATAAGTGAAAGTCGAAGGCGTAGACCGAAACGGCGACCAGCTGCAGAAGTAAGGCCTCGCGGTGTAGAAGCAATCACTCCTGAAGCGGCCGCTTCGTCTGAACAGGCTGTGGAGGAGGCTGCTCTTCCTACTACAGCCCTTGGATCAGGCGAGCTCAACAAGCTTTTCACGAGCATGCCTAGCAATCGCGTTCTGACACACGAGCTTGCGATTGACAAAGATTTCAAGCTCGCAGACAAGCACAGCGAGCTTCGAGATCATCTCTATCGCAGCATCTGCGAAAGCATGAAGGCTGGCTTCGAAGCGGGCAACAGTGCTCTATGGACCGTTTCTGCAGCAGAAAATGTTCGTGAAAAGTTATTACGAATGCTGAAACCTGGAAACAGCATGCATACGATGATATCTGAGGCCTTGGACCTGGAAAACATTAATCGACAGTGTCAACAAGGCGTGTTTTCTTATTCCGGCTTCTTCAGCTTCATGGCCAATGTGCTGCCGAAGCTTTGTGCACCATTCCGGGACCAGGAAGTAAAGATTCTGGCTGAACAGCTGCGTTCAGAAGAGAATGGCGATGAGCTGAGTATCATGATCGAGAAGCTATTCAAACTTTTGCGCATGGTGGATTTGTTGAGCCTGGACTACACCAACTTCATGATTATGAATGCGGCACCAACATTGATCAAGGAAGCGGCCGGGTACGAGCAGCGGCAGTTTGGCAAGGATCTTGAGGCGCATGCCATCACCCTGACCCAGACAAGGCGGTGGTGGCAGTCGGCCCAGGCTACGTTGAGCGCGGAAGCTGATCGAAGGGACCCAGATGGGATCAGAAATCCAGCAGATCGACCATCGCCACAAGCCATCTACACGCATGCGCTTGTTGAGTCAACAGTATCTCAAGCTGAGATTGATGCCACTCTGCTGCCAGAGACTCTGCATCTGGATCTTGAGCGCCTGCGCAAGATTCGCGCCAAGGCCATCAGAATTGCAGTCATTGGCGCTGTATTCCTGACTACCAAGAATCTGCTTAAGCGTGACACCAGAAGTCAATGGAAGGTTCAGGCCAATCGACTGTGGACTTTGCTGAGCAATGAGCCCTATGAGACGACCGAGGATCCCAATACGGCACAGAAAGCCTTCTCCGTCCTCGAGACAGCGCATAACATGCCTGATACGACCAAGCAGGCCGTGGCGAGCACGATTCGCCGTTTCTTCGCACAAGCAGCACAAGTCAGCGCTGGTCGAGCCAACTTCACAGACCCAGTCCTGAAAGTCCTCTTCCAACGACTCAAGTCCCACATCATGAGTCGTCTCATGGCGGAGACTTCAGCAGACAGAGTGCGCGCCGCATCCTCAGCTTCTGAGAAACTGGCTTCGAGCGGTATGGCCGAGTTTGTGCCGCATGTTGCCACCATTGTTGATATTTTAGAACGGGTGAGGAAGGTTGATTGGGAAGGGCATGGAACATGGTATGAGAGAATTTCACAGGAGGGCATGAGTAATGAACAGAGTGATGATAGATGAGAACTTTTTGCATTTTTGAGCGTTGGTCGGACGGTGGTTGCATTGAATCAGCATGGTAGCAAGCGACTTGACTTGACCTTTATATACGATGAACATACGTGATGCTATGGGCACAGAGGATCGGAGCATGGGCATGGACGGTATAGATGGGCATTTTGCATTCGAAGTGAATTGAATGAGTACTTGCTTCCTGGGTGCTTTCAAGCTTCGTTCTCCTTCAATGTTGTTTCTGGAGTCGGTGTTTGCTTCGCTGGACTTTAATCAAGCCCCCAACCGCCACTGCAGTTGTTAAACCGGCCACCGCAGGAAAGCCCATGGTCGACCGATTTAACAGCGTGGTAACATTTGGCCCTTTGCTTCTGGATGGGGTCTCTCGAGATCCATAGGACTATCGAGGCCAGGAGGCAGCGCTGCTGTAGGATGGAGTGTACCAATGTAGCCATCATCGAGTGTGACTTCTGGGAACCTTGACGCCGCTTACTACTTCAGTCTTGGTCCTTGGGAAGGCCTGCTTGGCATCTGGCAGAATGGATTTGGTGCGGCCGCACTACCGCGGAGCGGAGTGTGGTTTGCTGGGACCAGGATAATCGTCCTGAGGTACAATACGTTTTCTGTGGCTGTAAGCAGAGTTTGGTCATGCTGCTAGAGCATGCCTTATGCCGAGTATCTAAAACAAGAGTCCCTGCCTCTATTCCTCTATTCTCCCAACCCCTCCTTCAGTGCCGCAAGCATGGCCGTAAGCTTCTTTTGCGTCTCCGCAAGCTCCTCGTTGGTCATGTGCTCGTACTTTTCGTCTTCACCTTCGCTGTTCAAGTCCTCCCACTCTTCTTCATCCCTAGCCGCGCCAACCGCAAACTCATCTAGCTCCGGGCTCTCCTCGTATGGATCGCTCGTATTCACATGCCCGGCTCCAGTCTGGTCTGCCCACTGCCCTGGCTCATATTCAGGAAGTGAGCGGTCAAAATCAGACACTCTTCGATATTGTCCTTCAGCTCGATGCTGCTGTGTCTCGTCAAAACGAACACTTCTCGTTCTCCGCAGACGTTGAGGAGGCGGAATTCCATTCGAGTCTTGAACTTGCTGGAGTGTTCGTGTTCCATAGGCTGGACTGGAGTCTTCTCGCTGCAGATCTTCAGCTGTCGGCCGATCGCGCTGGCGCTCTCCGTGCTCGATGAGTTTCAATTTTGCTCGACGCCAGATGTTGCGTGCAGCCTGATGCGCAGTGTGGTCTTCCACATCTGCTGCAGCCAACTTTTGTCGTGCTTCCTCACATTCGCGTGTTAGGTTTTGTGAGGTGATACAATCGCCACAGTATGACACTGCTGGGTCGAGCCGCGTTGTAGGGTCTGGTAAAGGTAATGAATGGCGGATCGGGTGGCGGCAAATGCTGGCGAAGATCGTGTGCATGTGCGATGTGTTGTCAGCGCGAGGTGAGGCCATTCTGACATTGACGGCTGACCTGGCTTCGGTGCGAAGCGAGCGACGACGGAGAGAGTGCAATGCAGGACTTCGCAAAGGTTGGAGCGAAAAGAAGAAGAAGAATAGTAGATGAAACGAGGAGGCAGCTCGGCGTTTCAAGACTTACACAGGTGAAGGGAAGTGAGGACTTCACTTCGCAGCATCATTGTGAAGCGCCGAACAGTATGACCGACTTCGACGACATTCGCCTGGTCTAGCTGAGCTGTGTGCTACGAGCATCAGTATGACTATTACAGAGCAAGGTGCGATTGACCTCATCGCCCTCAGCGCGCGAGAATGCCTCGCCGCAGTCATATTTGTTGATGTTCACAACAAACAGCTGCTGTGGTCAATGGCAACCGTTGCTGCAGGGGCCAAACTTCGGATCTGCTGGCGTTGACCCTTAAATGCGCAAAAGAATTCCAGAGATTTAAAGTGAGATAGGTACGCCTGGCGCAGCGGTATCTCTCCTCGTTGGCCGAATCTACCAGACTGTTCGTTGCACGCAATATTTCCCAGTTCCGTCCTGGTTGAGCCTTCAGTCATTCTGATTGAGCCTTCGAGTCCTCAATACGTTGCAGCCCCCCTTTTTTGTTTTGATGTTGCTTGTCATCTTGTAAGCTGTGGGTCGCGCGTTCGAGACAGCTCATATTTTTGCTCTTCGAGTCTCCAACCCTCGCAAACCTCCATACAGCCACACAACCCACTGCACTGCGCGAGGCCAGTCGCTCGGGGACACAATGCTGCTATGTGCTGGAATGCTCTTTGCACCGGCAGTCTGGACCATATACGCCCTGTCTTCACTTCGCGTGCCACCATCTCCAGCTGCAGACGAACATGTGACCCACAGCACAGCTTTCCCGCCACTGGACAAGCGATAAAGTGAAGATGGCCCAGCAGATTGGAAGCTTATCGACCAAGACACTTGTATGCATTCGACTCGACACCTTTCCGAATTTGCAGCAATGCTCTTGATCCTGTCCTTCATTCGATATCGCAGCCTGCATGTATTTTTTCGAGATACGCTGCTCAGGTTAGGTTATAAGCGGCTATGAGGCCCATCCCATCTCCTTCTAGATTGCTCGGGAGGATTCGTGGTGCTATTATCGTATATCGGAGAGGATTCGAATGAGGTCGACATGACGGCATGTGAAACTGAAGATGACGGGCAGGGGGAAGCGTGAGAGGTGAAGTCTGGGGTGGATACCAGCCTGGCCGCGAAAAAGCGGGCCCGCCGAGATGCTCCTGAATGATCCACGTCGCGTTGCTCTTATATAAGCAAGCACACTGCAACATTCTCAAGGCGCTGGATATGGATAAGTTGATCCTGCTATAAAGTGAAGCTGTTCATATCCAGAAGCAAATCTCGAGCAGCACTTGGCAACGTGAAGGGCGACCCATCACATTCTACAGCCGCAGGCATGGTAATCGTCATTTCGGCTGCCAACGAAGCATACAGCTGAAGTTGCGAAAGATGCCTCATTTCAGCCGTACCTGAGCATATGTCTGCTTCTCTAACTCTTCATACTGATATTCCAACCCATCCCAAATATGGCAAATGTGGAAGTGCCTGCAAGCCATACCGATGTGCTCATTGTGGGTACTGGCCCAGCAGGACTGGTCCGTATCATTGGCCATGCTGCAACGGCATGGGATGATTGAAATGACACCCTCTTGCAGATGATGGCCACTTCACTGGCCAAATGCGGCATTGATACACGTATCATCGACAAGCGTGGCACCAAGATCTTTAATGGGCAAGCCGATGGTGAGCATGGTCTCTCGAAAAGTCGTAGACAATGCTGATGCCTTATTCTTTCAAGGCCTACAATGCCGAACTCTGGAGATTTTCGACTCCTTGGGCTTTGGTCACAGAGCTTGGCGAGAGTCCAATCACATGCTCGAGATACGCCTGTGGAACCCGGACGAGAATGGCATCATTCGCCTCAGCGACAAGATACCTGATACATTGGTAGGCATCTCGCGCTTCCAGCAGGTCGTACTGCATCAAGGCCGCATCGAACGCTTCTTCCTCGACACAATTCAGGAATGTGGCGGCAACCCGGTTGGACGAGGTGTTTTGCCCACAGAACTGCATATCGACGAGACTCTGGTAGACGATAGTCATGCATATCCTATCACCGTCCGTGTTCGCCATCTGTCGGAGAAGGAGTCCACTCCCGATCAGACTGCAACATCTGCCAATGGTGAGGCAGTGCAGGATGGCTTATTTCGGAGCAATCTGACTCCCGACGACACCCATGAGCTGATCGCGCGTGCCAAACTGGACAGCAAAGCCAACTCGGAAGAGACAATAAAAGCCAAGTACTTGCTGGGTGCAGATGGCGCGCATTCCTGGGTTCGAAGGCAGCTTGGATTTAAGCTCGAAGGAGACTCTACCGACTATATTTGGGGAGTCTTAGACATTGTTCCAATCACCAACTTTCTGTTGAAACTGCTCATGAGTGTGAACTCTGATGAACCGGATGATCCATCCAATGCCAACTAGGAGCCTACCATCAGCATCTCCTCTTATTTGCTATGTCTTTTACGTTGTAGAAGGTGTAAGAAGAGTCTAAGACAAACAACACTCCCCCTAGCTCGAACACACCCTGTAACTCCCCCTTAATCGAGTTAGGGAGCCAGTCCTTCTTCATTCCTATACCCTCGAAGTGCTTATCGAACAGCTGTCTCGTAAGGCTTTTAGTAAGCAGATCGGCTAGGTTGTCTTTGCCTAAGATCTATTCGGTCTTAATATTGCCGTTAAGGACCGCCTCTCGTAGAAAGTAGTGTCGGATATCGATATGCTTAGTTCTAGCGTAGAACTCTAGGTTCTTAGACATCTTAACCGCTAAGGCGTTATCGATATTAAGAGGTATTATATCGTAATATAGGCTCTATTCGCGTAGATTGTAGGCGATCTCGTTAACGAACCCTTTAAGCTAGATAGCTTCCCTTACTACATCTAAGGCTGTAACGTATTCTGCTTTAGTTAAAGAAGTAGCTACTACTTTCTACCGCTACGAGGTATAGGAGACGGGGCTGCCTGCTAGCTTATATAGATAGCTAGTTCTAGAACGTTAGGTATCTTAGCATCCTACCTAGTTACTATTAACGAATCCTTTAATAGTCGGGCGAATATCGCGTCTAAAAAACAAGCCTGCCCTTAACGTTCCTCTAAGATACGAGAAGATATAGTTTACTACGTCTATATAAGTCTAATCTAGGTTGCTACTAAATCCGGAGACGATAGATATTAGGCAAGCTAGATCTGCCCTTGTTTTAGACGCGAGGAAGTTTAGGGCCCCCGTCTTTAATTAGTATTTATATTTGAATTCCGGGCTAGCGATATAGCCGTCTTTTGCTTTTATAAGTAGTTTATTAGAGTCGAGAGGCGTTAATATAGGCGCAATGTCCTAGAGATCGTATCGTCGTAGGATTTGCTTTACGTACGTAGCCTAGTAAATATAGATTCCTTTAGATAAGTGCTCGATCTGTATACCGAGGTAGTACGCGATCTCTCCTTTATCGGTTATATTAAAGGCCGTATAAAGCTCCTCCTTACACTTAGTAATTATAGCTTCGCTTAGGCTAAAGATGTTTACGTCGTTAATATAGATAGTTATAATTAGACTTCTTGTTTTGTAGAAGAATACGCACTTATCGAACTAGGAGACTTCCTATCCGTAAGCTTCGAGCTATTTCCTAAGCTTAATATACTATACTCGAGGTAATTGTTTTAAACCGTATAGGCCCTTACGGAGTCTCGCGAACAGCGGCTTCCCTTTAGGCTAATTTAGGATGCCTAGCGGGAGCTGTACGTATACTTCCTCTTCTAGATCTCCGTTAAGAAAGGTAGTAACGAAGTCTATCTAGTAATACTTCTACCCTAGTGCTGCTACTAGACCGAATAGCAGTCGATAGGCGGCGGTTTTAACGACTCCTAAGTACGTCTCCGTAAAGTTAAAGCCTTCTACCTGCTAGAATCTTAGCCTAGAAACCTCGTATACAAAGTCTAGATTTGTACTTCTTAAAAGATCCGTCCTACTTAATCTTCCGACGGTTAACCTATCTTGTTAAGAGCGCTTTACGTCCTATAGGAACCTTTTCGACAATATTAAAAGTCTAGTTGTCGGCATAGCTTTGCTATTCCGACTCGATAGCTCCTTCCTATCCTTCTCGTTCTAGCGAGATTTCGATTTCGTAGTAGTTCTAAGGCACTAGTACCGTAGCTAGTTCTGCCGGTAACGGGAAACTAGTTATAGCGACCGCTGCCTCGATATCCTTAATAGTAATGCCTACTACCTCGAGTGTATTAGTAGCAAGTCCTATAAATTTGAATGCATTAAGCTTGTTACCGGTCTTTTCTTACTCGGGGACCTCTATATTATCTTCTAAGAGGCTGTTACTGTCGATTATAGTCTTAGGAGCTTTCTTCTTTAACGTGTTATTCCCTCGTCTACGACGAATAGGTCCTTCTATAGGAACGTAGTCCTTACGGGGCACTACTACTAAATTAAAGTCGTCGTTAAGAACTACCTTATATAGGCCTAGGTAGATTATTTCTAGAGTAGTATTGTCCTCCGTAAGGACTTTAGTATAGGTTTTGTTACTTTCTATATAGCGAGTATATAGTTCTCTACTAGGGACTAGCTTGCATCCTTTATTACGGTTTTAATAATAGTTGCAAGCATAGTTCTTAGAGTACTTAGTCTCCTTAACTAGGTTCTAGTTATAGAGGATCGTTCTAGTCTTGTCTACGGAGAGGTACAGACACCCGCCTCCGCGCCTAATACACTTCGAGTATAGGCTAGTCCCTTTTCTATCGTATACTAAGTAAGCGTCCTTATAGGCAAGACATTTCGGAGGCGGATTCTTAGCTTCCTCTTATAATATACACTTCAATTCGCGGTTCTTATAGTGCGTATACTTGTCTTTATTATTATACAGACCTAGCACTTTATTACAGCATACATTTTTCCGATAGTACTAATAGTAGGCTTAAGGGTTCCTTACTCCTCGGTTTTTATAACCTAACTTCCTCCTTAGCTTTAAGTTCTCGAAGCCGCTAGAGATCTCGTCGATCTTAGGTAGTAGCACTACTTAGGTTGTTATACCGCCTTTTTACGGCATACTCGTCGACGTGCGTTTGAAGTCGTGTTTACTATAGGTAGTTTGTATGCCTAGAAGACCTGCCCGCGCGATATAAGGGTTGATTCTTCGTAGCGTAGTCTCTAAGACTAGGTTCGACGATAAAATTGCTTCCTCGCCGAAATACGTCTCTTTATTAATATTATATTTATCTCCGCTATTAGCGGGAGACGACGGTCTTTACTGCTAAGCCGGTACCGTCTTAGGAGTATCGGAATCTTTAAGTAAGCTAGACTTGTCGTTTAACGAGATTGTTATAACTAATAGTACTCGTTGCCGCCTTAGAGCTGTGTCTTTATCGCTTACGAAGAGAGTATCGCTAGCGTTAGGAGAGTTTTCAACCGTCGTTAGCTGTTTACGCTTCGGCTTAGGGACCGTTATTAATTGTTTCTTGCTTGTCGCAGCTATTCCTTGCTGCCTTAGCTCTAGACTAGGCATCGCCTTATCGTTTCTAAACTTAGATACGTCTAGCTTGCTCCCGAAGGTCGTTAGAGGCGGTAGTGTTGCCTTCTTACGTACTGCTTTAACCTTCTTCGGTAGTAGTATATATGCTTCTTAAGGATCCTTAGACTATAGCGCAAGTCCTAGTGTACTTATAGCTTCCTAGCCCTAGCCGCTTTCGCTATTAGCAATGCTAGAGTCCTTGCTAGTTTTGCGTTTTAGTGCTATAGCCGCTAGGTAGTCGTTAGACCTAATAGAGTCTTCTTTACTGCTCGAGGTGTCTTCCTTAGAGAGCTATAGTCTAGTCTCTCGAGCGTTAATCGAGGGTGCGACGTACTTATTATCTAAACCTCTTCCTTTATCAACCTCCGCTAGTAAGACATTAAATACTTTGTCTGTGTCTAGGTAATAGAAGCGGTAAGAAGCTTCGCCTACGGCACCTACGTAGTACCCGAATAGCCCTCTTAGATTATGAATTTTGCGGCTGCCTATCTTTAAGAGTTTCTCTTTAGGGATTGCTATAACTATTCGGCTGCCCTAGATTCTCTCGAGACCTAGGTTAGGCTTTAACCCTTCCCTCTTTTCCTATAGAGTCTCGTTAAACTTCGTAACTCGGATAGGAGATCGGTTCTTAAGACGTACGGCATAGTCGGTAGCTTCTAGCTAGAGTTTCTCTAGTAGAGTCGTATTACGCAGAAGTTTATTGCCGCGTTCTGTAATAATACGGCGGATTTGTCCTATAATACTATTGTCTTAGACAATAGCAGTAGCTCCTTCTCTAATAGTACGGTTAATACGCTCCGTAATACTAACTTAGTAGTATTAATATAGTAGCGTAGGTTCAATTGTAATACCGTGCTTCTTATAATAGCGAGCAAATAGTCCTACCTAGAATTAGTAGTCCGCGCGATATCTCCTAATCGTAATATTGTACTTCTTCTCGATATGCCTTTATAGGGAGATAAGTTCTACGGGGGCATCCTCGGGTGTCTTAATCCGAAGCGAAAAGGTAAACCGATTAGCGTCGTTAGTAACAAATAGGAAGTACTTTGTCCTATCGTATCCCGGGACTAGGTACAGTCTCTATATATTAATATATACGAGATTACTAGGTTGCTAGAAGCGACGGTTAGTAGGATCTTTAGGAATTCGGACAATCGCTCTAGTTATATCGTATATAGGGCACCTAAACATCTTCTGCAAGAGTCGAATTTGTTTATTAGTAATGTCTATGCTGTTGCTATATTTAGACCCCGCAGTAGTTCGGTTTCCGAACCACCAAACGTATATAGTTTGGTTTCTTAGCGGCGAACTAGCTCCCTAGTTCCGGTTTGGTTTTTTCGAACTATATAGATTCCTAGTTTGAACTAGAGACTGTATTAGTTTTACTACAAGGACACTCTTATTCGACTGCCGGCCACGATTGCCGGCTATAATAGTAACTCTGTTACATTTACTACGCTCTTTTGCCGTTGCTAGGGCGTAGTTGCCGTTGCTAGGGCGTAGTTTTGCTACAAGGACACTCTTATTCGACTGCCGGCTACGATTGCCGGCTATAATAGTTACTAGGTTGTATTTACTACGCTTTATTACCGTTGCTAGGGCGTAGTTACCGTTACTAGGGCGTAGTTGCCGTTGCTAGGGCGTAGTTGCTATTGCCGGGGCGTAGTTGCCGTAGTTGCGAAAGCTTACCTATATAACGTTACGTAGGCGGCAACAATTAGGGCTTCGCGATATTCTTATACTTTTAACTTCTTCCTCTATATCTATACCGATAACAACTACTATACGCTACGCCCCCGCCCCTTTCCCTTACAATAGAAAGAGAGAAGCGCGCCGCGCGCTAAACAGAAGATAGAACTAAAGACCGCGA